GGTGGCAGTGGTATTGTATTAGTGGTGGCAGTGGTATTGTATTAGTGGTGGCAGTGATAGTGGTGGTGGCAGTGGTATTGTATTAGTGGTGGCAGTATGTATATCTCTGGTCTCCCGGGTGTCTGTCTGTCTGTCTGTCTGTCTGTCTGTCTGTCTCTCTCTCTCTCTCTCTCTCTCTCTCCCGGGGCTCTGACTGGCCGCATTCCCAGGGTAGGCCCGAAGCCTCGGTGTGTAGTAGTGATCTCTGCCGGGCCCTGTGTTACCTGGACGGGCTCCTGCAGTACCGTCATCCTCCGGCCTTCCTCCCGGCCTCCGGTGTGCGCTCTCTCCCCCGCTGTCGGGACCGCTCTCACTGTCGGCGACTCTCAGGACGTCAATCGGGCGGCTCCGGCTCATTTAAACTCACAGCGACCGTTACCGGGGAGGCCGCCGGAGACAGCCGAGTCCTGGCCGGAAACACCCGAGCGCCGTCGGAAGGCTTAGAACGCTGGCGGAAAGACCCGACGGGAGCCGTGGGAAGTCTAAGTCGGAACCCTAGCTCCCAGAGCAGCAGGGTGCTGACGGAAAAAGCCGAGCGTCACAAAAATGTTCCGGAAATGAACGATAACAGGAGACAGAAAGGTCGCTCTCTAGCGGTGGCTCGGAGGAACTACAAGACACAATAGTTTCTCCATTTTAGTGAGATGCAAAAATGTTAGTTTTCATCATGGGTTTTAATATTTATTTGCTTAACATTTTCACTATTTTTTAATTTTTTTATTATTATCATTATCATCATTATTTTACTTACATGAGACAGTTTGGCTGTCCATGGCATAAATGCTGAATTAACCCCTGCACTGCTGTAGAAATGGGTGAATGTGACCTTACTCTACTCTAGGTACCGCATTTCCTTGTTGCTATAGCACATGTCCAAGATATTCCTTCTGCACCCCACAGGGTTCCCCGCTGCCCTGATTTTGGCGTGGCTGTCCCTATTTTAGCGTCCTGTCCCGTTGCCCTAATAATATTCTGTGGTGTCTCTCATCCAGGCAGGGCCGGACTGGGAAAAAAATTAGGCCCGGGCATTTTTCAATCAGAGCGGACCCCTAAGAAGGGGGCTGGGCCAGAGAGGGTGTGTTTTGTCATCACTAATGACAAGCACGCCCCCTCTCAAAGTGAGCATGTTGGTTCAATGCGTAGAGCCCCGCTGAAGAGCTCTGGCATTAGAAAAAGGCCCTGAATTTGTTCTGCCCAGCGCAAGCAAATGTAATAACATGCTTGCGCTGTTTGCTTTTAAATTGTCTCTGGTGTCTCCACAAGTGGGATACCAGAGGACAAAAGGGCCAGGAAAGTGCATGGTGCATATGTTTGGAGCCTGCTTGTGGGATTGCGTGTGTGTATAGTGTGGTGTGGTTTTGTGTAAATAGGTCAATTTCACTTGTGTTTGTGGTGTAATATGTGTGGCAAGGGGCTGTAGAGAGTGTGTGTATAGGGGGCATAGTTTTATAGGGGATGTAGCGAGTGTGTGCATACGGGCAGTAGTGTGTGTGTATAGGTGACGTAGTGTGTGTAGGGGTTGTAGAGAGGGTGTGTTTAGAGAATGTTGTATGTGTTTGCTGACAAGGAATGTAGTGTGTGTGTGTGTAGGAAATCTACTGTGTAAAGGACCCAGTGTGCGTGTGTGTGTGTGTAGAGGATTAAGAGTGCATATAGGGTAAGGGATCTAGTGTGTATCTGGAGCGTAATGTGTGTAGTGGTGCAGTGTGAGGGGTGCTGTGTGTGTGTGTGTATATATATATATATATATATATTTGGACTTATTGTATGTGTGAGGGGCGCAGTGTGTGTATGTAAGAGGGGTGCTGTGTGTGAGGGTGTTTTTATCTGCTGTCACATTCTAGGTTTCTAATTTTCTTTGTCTGTTAACTCACTGAGGGTTATTTTATATATATATATATATATATATATATATATATATATATATATATATATATATATGTGTGTGCTGTATATGTGTGGGAGTGTGCTGTGTGTGTGTGTGTGTGTCTGGGTGCTGTGTGTGTTTGGTGGTGCTGTGTCAGTCTGGGGGTGCTGTGTCGGTCTGGGGGTGCTGTGTCGGTCTGGGGGTGCAGTGTGAGTTTGGGTGCTGTGTCTGGTGTGCTATGTGTGTTTGGGTGCGGTGTGTGTGTGTCTGGGTGCGCTGTGTCTGGGGGTGCTGTGTGTGTCTGGGGGTGCTGTGTGTGTCTGGATGCTGTGTGTGTCTAATGCTGTGTGTGTCTGGGAGGTGCTGTGTGTGTCTGGGTGCTATGTGTGTCTGGGGGGGTGCTGTGTCTGGGTGCTGTGTGTGTCTGGATGCTGTGTGTGTCTGGGGAGTTGCTGTTTGTGTCTGGATGCTGTGTGTGTCTGGGTGCTGTGTGTGAGTGAGGGTGCTGTGTGTGTCTGGGTGCTGTGTCTGTCTGGGTGTGCTGTGTCTGTCTTGGGGGTGCTGTGTCTGTCTGGGGGTGCAGTGTGAGTTTGGGTGCTGTGTGTGTCTGGGTGCGCTGTGTGTGTCTGGATGCTGTGTGTGTCTGGGTGCTGTGTGTGTCTGGGTGCGCTGTGTGTGTCTGGGTGCTCTGTGTGTGTCTGGGTGCGCTGTGTGTGTCTGGATGCTGTGTGTGTCTGGGTGCGTTGTGTGTGTCTGGATGCTGTGTGTGTCTGGGGGCGCTGTGTGTGTCTGGGGGCGCTGTGTGTGTCTGGGGGGTGCTGTGTGTGTCTCGGGGCGCTGTGTGTGTCTGGGGGCCCTGTGTGTGTCTGGGGGCCCTGTGTGTGTCTGGGGGGTGCTGTGTGTGTCTGAGAGGCCAGTGTGTCTGAGTGCTGTGTGTGTCTGGGTGCTGTGTGTGTCTGAGGGTGCTGTGTGTGTCTGAGGGTGCTGTGTGTGTCTGAGGGTGCTGTGTGTGTTTGGGTGCTGTGTGTGTTTGGGTGCTGTGTGTGTCTGGGTGCTGTGTGTGTCTGGGTGCTGTGTGTGCCTGGGGGTGCTGTGTGTGTGAGTGTGTGTGTGTGTGAGAGTGTTTATTTAAATTTAAATATTTTTTTTTATATATAATAAAAAAAAGTTATATCCCCTTCTCCCTTCTTACCTTGGGAGGGGGTGGGGAGCCGGGTATCCATGGAGGAGGGGACCATGCTGCCTTCCCTGGTGGTCCAGTGGTGAGAGTGAACTCTAACCTGCAGGCTAGAGTTTACTCTCGCGAGATCTGATCGTTGCCACAGTAACCACGGCAACGCTCAGAATCCCGCGAGAGGACCCGGCGGAGCTGCTGGTTAGAGCTCCGCCGGTCCTCTCTCCTGCCTCCCTCCCTCACTCCCTCTCCTGCTGGCGGCCGCATCTCCCTGTCTCTGGGCCGGTGAGGGAGATCTTTGATCTCCCCACCGGCCCATGGAGGCACTATGCAGGGCCGGCGCTCGGATAGCGCTGGCCCTGCCCCACGGCCATCGCGGCCCACCAGGCATTTGCCCGGTATGCCCGATGGCCAGTCCGGGCCTGGATTTACTAGAGTGGTGTAAATTGGTAAATTGGTACTTTCGAAAGAGACCGGCCGCACAGCCTGAATCCATGGGACTCTTTTTGGCAGGCGCCTTGTGTCCGGTTAGTCAAAACTCTACCTCGGTGGCGTTTCGACTATATTCGAACGCTCAAATACCAGCTATCCGAGCATATAGTATTTAGGGGGGTACCTCACTGTTAATGATGTTTTTTGGGGTGTTAATGATGTATTACCTGGACCTGAGAGATAATGTAATAATGTATGTACTTTTCTGCAGTCTACTCTCAGGTCCAATGTGGAATGCCCCTGGAATATGTAAGGAGAAACCCCTTGCATGGGGATTTGTATATAAAGCCAGCTGTGGCTCCCATTTAACCAGTTCAGCTTCACCCTCAACACAGAGCCTCCTCTCGTGCTTGTAGGGAACCCCTATACCTGCTTCTTTACTGCTTGGATTACTGCTTGGGAACATTTCATCACCACTCATGCTAGGGGGAAAGGACATCTCTAGCAGTGGAAACCCCTGCTCTCACGGGGTGGCCGCCACAGTGATCAATCAGTCTGAAATAGAAATCAGGGAATGTCTATTCCCGCGACCACTCAGCAGCCCGTAGAATATCCTCTAGACAAAAACCAACCGCTGATGCCTTAGATGCCATGGCTCCCGGCACTGAATGGTTAAAAATCAACGTGTCAATTCCTGCCAAAGATAACAGCCAACAAACCCAACGCGCCAATGTAGGAGTCGACACCAGGAGATGAGGAGTGTGGAAGGAAACGAACAAAGAGTGAAGATCCAGTGAACGCAGGGATCAAGTAGCCTCTAGACATTCCACCGGGCAGAGTGCAGCAACCCTGGAACTTTGGGTAAACAAAGGATTTTGAGGCCGACTTTGTCTTCCTGGAGATAACCTCTGGGGTAAATGTCATGGCATCCCAATTAAGTGCCCTGACACTCACTTGCAGGAAATCAGGCAGAACAACATTTCCAACTTAGCAGACAGTTGCTTAGGCGTCATATCTCGATTCGGATACCAAGACTGTAACACCACAATGACGTCCCAAAAGGCATAGAACCTAGCTTTAGGCGGTCGAGTAAGGTGAATCCCCTTGAGGAGACGACACACGAAAGGATGTCTCCAGACCGGTGAACCATCTATACCTCAATGTCTTGCCGAAATAGCCGAACGGAACAAATTGATGAGATACGCCTTCCCCGACTCAAACATGCCAGTGAGAAACTCCACAATCATATGCAAAGGGGCAGATACGGGATCCAGTACTCGTCCCATGCACCAACCAGACCATAGTAACCACGATGAGTAATAGGCAGATCGAGTACCTGGAGCCCAGGCGTTGTCGAGGAGATGGAGAGTTGTCTGCGGAATGCCCGG